AAAAAAAAAAATCACATCTTGTCTCCTCCCTCACAAAAGAGTGTGTGAACTGGCATGCTCGTGTCGGGATGAAAGGGTTTCCGCACGTGTGCGCGTACGTGTGAAAGGAGTGTGTTTGCAATTTCATTCAAATATTTAAACGCAGATTAGAAAACATTGACAAAACATGGAAACGAAGCGGCAGCTGTCTTAGGGAGAAGTGGCTGTGAAATTGTTTTACACGGCACTCATTTGTAGTGTGTGCTTTGGAACATCCGTCAAATGCAAAACGCCTTTACCACCCTCGTATGAAACTCAAAAAAAAATACAAATATCTACTTTTCTTTGGCAGATGCTTAAATGGGGCACATGATGTCAAAGTGACTTTGAAATCGCATGGATACAAAGAGTTGGGTCTCTGTCGTGCCTCCTCGTCAGGCGTGAAATGACACAACCAACCCCCCTTTTTTTTCTTTTTCTTTTTTAGCTGCCGATGTCAAACACCCATTTTAAACGTATGGATTGTATTTTTGTAGACTGAGCATGCGGAAAAGCTGGTATAGCTTAATTTTTGTGAGTGTGCAAGGATCGCCACGGCCATTTGCCAATTTGGCAGATCCCATTCCGCCACATGAGGTGTTCCGGCGTCGTGAGGGTGAGTCCTTGAAGATCTGATGGTTTGGCTGGCAGAACGTGAAAAAACACATCAGAACTTCATCAAGTGCTTCAACAGCTCTTGCCGTCAGTCAGCGGGCCGGCCCACAAAACTACACCAAAGTCAGAAGAGCGCTTCCCCAAAGCGCCGGAGTTTCTTTTCAGGGAACCGAGTGGGCTGACGAGTACTTTTTGATTTGTCCTCCTTTGGTGATTTGTTGATTCTTGTCAAGTTCAACACAGTGGCAAAAAAAAAACAAAAAAACAGGCAGCTCTTTCCTCAGATTTTTCCTATGTGTCTCCACCCCCACCCCCTTATGTTGTTTTATCACAGCGGGCCATCTCCCTGCGCTGTCATGGGGAGATCTGCACAGCAGTATTGATATACAGCCCTATCTCACTTTCATCAGAGGGAAATCATTTACCAGTAGAAAGAGACGCCACCCCCCCTCCGACCCCCTCCATACCATTTGCTTTTTATTTTCCTCCACCTCTTCCAACAGCTAACACCATACCCCTGAACATCAGCTTTTATCATTGGAAAAGGAAACGGCTGTCTTTCTTTTAAAGTTGGACCTCTGAAGTCTTTCTTCTCTTTGCGAGCTCGCCAGCATGAGGGCTGCAGTGTTTTTCTGCATTATTTGTGGGTGCGGGTGGGTGTGGGTGCGAGTGCACACTCACCTGTTGATTGACAAGACTGCGCTGCAGTTTGGTCTGCATGTCGGCCAGTCCGCCCAGATTCAGAGCCACACAAGTCTGCTTATCCAGGCTGAAAGCACATGTGAAATTTCAATGTACGTTAACATGAGAATGTTTACGAAATTACTACTTTAAAAACATGTAATAAAACCATATATATATATATATATATATACACACACACACACACACACACACACACACACACAAAGACAAAAAAAAAAAACACACTAAATAGTCCAACAAATGAAAAATCCGATGTTACTACTACTACATCAGTGCTAATGTCCTCATCATATGTTTACAGAGTCATATTTACTTTTCTCACTCTAAAGTATGGGAGGGTGGACTTCATTCGGCGCATCAACCCATGGGGAGGTTTTCCTTTTTAGTTTAAAATAACGTACTTTAATCTCCAGGATCCTGCGGAATGTAATTTGTAGCTGCTCATACATTATTGAAATGATCTTCCAAAGTATATCTTTAGCCAATCCAAAAGTTGTATATGGAAGCACTTTGAGTACATCTTCGAGAAGTGTAACCTTACGGTCAAGTTGTTCCCATTTTATGCAATCAACACAAAATTTGAAAAGCGTGTGCATTTGCAGAGCATGTTCAATCAAACATCCTCCATATCTGGGGCAAGAAAAGAATCGGCTGTATATGATCGTCATTATAAGCACGTTCGGAAGACCTTATTACAGAGTCCAAAGATGGGTGAGCAAATGGTTTCTAGAAATCATTAAATCGTACTACAGCGTTACCGAGAGCAAAACGAGCGCAACCGCTGACATGCAGCGGAACATTAACAGTACAAGAAGCCATTTAAGATTTTAACTGTTTATTAAAAAGCTTTTCGGGGGAGAGGACAAACAAATGTGAAAGTCTGCTATTTTCAGAGCCAGGCCTCGACTAAGAAATGCCTATTAAATTAACGACAGTGGATAATGGCGCTCTGTACGGGCTGAAGAGCGTGCTGCCCCCGCTTTGCGCTGCTTCTTTCATGCTTCAGTGAACCTGTCCAGTTAGCGCTGAGGGGGGGGGGGCTTCTAAATACTTTATTGAAGACTTCTTAGGCCATTAAAGTACCACTGTACCTCCCCTATGTTAATGTGATGGTAAAGAAGCAAGATGGGAAATTCCATGAGGCGAGCATGCCAAAACGGTCTCTTTTTGCTTCACCTGATAAGGCGAATAAAGGACAGTGTTGTTCCATCGAATCCACAAATGCAAACCGGAGCAAACTTCAAACAATTCAGTTAAAAGAAGACTTTCACGATAATATTGTTGCATATCTGTTGATTGATGGATTCATTTCACAGTGTTTATGACGGCGGTTGCGTTGAGGCCACAATACAGTGCATCATCGTGAAAGATGTTCACTTCGTGAAAGGAGACAGACTACCTTGGAAAACATCATGAAAGTGTTACTGTGTTTCAATGGCAAGTGTCTGTTTCGGCATTTTTATCTTTTAAAATGTAAAAGATGCCACGTTGCCACTGCGCTGTAACACTGCATCTAAAAATAGCAACAGCTCACACATACATGTGTCACGTAATAAGAGCAAATATCCAATAAGAAATGAGTCGTTACTTTACATGCACAACATTTACAAGCAACTTGTTTCGGTGCATAGAGAGAAAAGGGAAAAGGGGGAAAAAAAGGGAAAAACATTCATCCGAAGTCGTTGCGATACAAAAGAACGGTTTCCCCCTGTCCTTCGTTGCGCCAATTGCAGTCCGGCATTGCATTCCTTGTTTAGGTTTGGAATATTTTGTAAATCCGAGCTTTGTCTTTGCACGTACAAACACAAAACGTACCTTGTTGTCCAAAACTAAATAACCCCGCCCCACAGCCGCACATGACAGAATGTAATTTGAATCACTTTCCATTAAGCAACCAACTCATTTAGCCTGGCAAATGCAAATAGTTTTGAAAGACGAAACCAAATTTTCTGCAAATGACATTCATAAAAAGGAAAATAATTGCAACTGACCCTTCCGGATCTTTTAATTTCACACCATGATTATGGCGCAGCCAACAGCCACGAGCCCAATTGCACACACTGACTTTGATCTGTGAAATTGCCTCTCCAAAATGCGGTGCGTCTTCCGCCGGTTTCCATCTCAGCAGATGCGCAAACTCAAACGTACCTTCCCAGATGGCGGCGTGGTGCCGAGCGGATGATGAGACATAGCCACGGAGCAAAGACAACTGCGTGAGATTTATGCGAGGATGGAACCACGCTTGGCCAAACGCCTGTGTAAACATCTGCTCCTGCGTTGAAACGCAAACATGGATGTGTGTAATTAGATGCTTAACCCAATCAGCGGCTCTATAATTACAGTCATTAGTGTCAACGCCGAGCTGCCATATTCTCTCAAGTAGGCAATAAACTCTCCAACGCGCCCCCCCCCCCCCGATCTCCCTTGCATCTTTCTTATTTACTGCTCTCACACGGCTGTATTTTATTTGATTTTTTTGGGGGAACGCAAAGCTTTGACTCCCCCCTATCTCCCGCTCTCTTCATCTGCCACATCACTTCTCTGTTTACACAAATCCTCCGCTGTGATCACAGAGGGCTCTTAATTGGAAGCACATCGTTAGCCGGGGCGCGCACGATGAGCGCTTCCTCCTGATGGGCTGTGTCACAGTGGTCCCAGCAGCGAATCAGCAACAGGCTCGCCTTCCATCATCGCCCGCATGTCAATTTGTAACGGTTCTTTTCATTTTTTTTTTTTTCCGGAGTTACTTTGAGTTGACACGAGAAAATGTGTTCAAGGATTCATGAATTTATCCTTTTACTTGATTAAAAGCGGCATACATGTTTAGCTGAAAGCAGGAACGAACTTAAGGAGCTAAAAAAAAGAGCGCAAATATAGAGTGATAGATTTGAAGATATACGTATATGCAAGTGTACAATTGTCTAAATCACATTTGAGCTTTTCCGCCTTCAATACTGATGACCCCGTTTTCACCTGACAGTCCTAGCACAGTTCCTCAGTTGGGTAGGGGCTCTTCAAAATAGTACACGGGCTCTGCAGTTTATCCAGCTCTGCCCCCCCCTCTGCCGTCATCCGAAGTGTAGTCAAAGTCTACCTTGCCCAGCTGTTCACGAACTAAGGACATTTTTCGACAGAGGTCTCATTTATTAATTGAAATATTGATCCCCAAATCACTCTTCCTCACCCGTGAGATGAAGCCATGGTGCCACAGCCGCTTCAATGCGTGGGCCATGTCATCATCGCACATTGCTTTATTAAAGGCCCTTCTAATGAAAAAGAATAAAATGTCACATTTCGCTGATCGCTGTCAGTGATAGAGGCACTGCGATGCCCCCCTCTGCCACAAGTAATAAGATTTGTACAAGGAATGCATATGGCTGCCATGCAAATAACATGACATATCTGTTGCCGTATAGATGTATGAGTTTCATACATATATGGCATTGGGGTGGGGGGGGTGTGAGTGCCGCAGTAAGAAATAGGGGTTATGATAATGAACTGAAATAAATGAAGATTCATCATAACAAAGGATGAGGAGACACTACAGAGGAAGTTTTCATTCACTGATTTTTTTTTTTTTTTTAATCATCATCTCTTCCCATGTTATTATACACGTTCAATCAAAGCCCCCTCATGCCTACATCTATATGAACTGCCTCCTCTTTTTCTCTTCTGTCTTGCTCATTCGCAATTATGAGCGAAAGACAAAGAAAAGCGATTCATCTTCCTGTCGTGGCCTCTTAATGATATCATTAAAATGACTGACAGCTTTGAATAGCGCCAAGAACTTACCCCAGTCAAAACAAATCTGATCCGTTTTGGAAACACGGCATGGTGGTTCATTAAAGGGAAGGGTTGGGGGGGGGGGGGTTGTACAACTGGGTGTGGAGGCGATGGTAGGTGGGGGCGATTATTGTTAATGAGGAAGACCTTATGGGGTCGTACTGCGGGTACAGGGAGCTGTGCTTCAGGCAGGTGCCCCCACGAACGCCACTACGCACGCACGCACGCGCACACACACGCGCACACACACACACACACACACACACACACACACACACACACACACACACACACACACACACGGGAGCGCCTCTCGCTTCCATCCTGCGCCCATCTGTGCCACGTTCATTCTCATTGCCTTAATGAACATAATAAATATATCTCGCCGCCATTGATGAATGCTATTTGACAGCCAACGGGGGTGGCAAGTAGAAGAGGACGGGCCCTTGATTGGAGTGTAATCACCGTTAAAGGCCCAGCATGAATCACATATTCAGATTGGAGAAGCGGCACCACGCGCACACACAGGTGGCAAAGCCCACGGGGTGTTTCATTCACAGCCCCGGCACTCCTGCTGTGATTGTCATCGGCGCCATTGCCGGGCCGGGAGCTCGTGTTACAACGAGGCACGGTGGGAAATGCGCGCCTTGTAAGTGGGTGGCCGGCACAAATGCGTGCGGAAGGGCCTGCTGTCACCAAGCAGCAGTTTGGAACAGGACATTTGCAAAATAAAGGATCGGCAGGAACACTTTTTGGCAGCCCGGCCGAGAGAGTGGCGGCACCGCAACTGGGAAGCATCACTCGCATCGAGAGGCACGGATGTCATTTGATGAAGACAAAGACGTGTGCTCACCAAAGAAACAACTTTGGTTTCCTTTTGATTGTGATCTTATTGCTGTTGAACTGTTTTCATTCTAGGGTTTTAGAATTGGCGCGCGGACTTGTTGCACCCACGCCTAAGCAAGATTTATGAATGGATTAACGTGTTGACTTACATTTTCTCATCTTGAAGTGCACAGAGCTCCTTGAGTTGGGCCTGCAAAACAATGCAAAAACATTTTTTTTTTAAAATTAAACACATCTAGGATCTCTTCTGCTCCTTCTTCTCACCTTGATGCTTCCCATCACTTTCTCCTGGCCTGCCGCCACTTCTTTAAGTCGCGTCACCTCCGCCTTCAGCGTGTCATTCTTCTCGTGAAGATGTCTGACAAACCACGAGGAAATGCAAACGCTCAGTTCAAGCAGACGATAGACGCTCGGCTTGACAGACGCCATTATCATCAAAAGGCTCTTGTTACACGCATAGACACACAAAACACAACATGCTTTGCGGAAGTAAAATGCTGGGTTTGCAGCATCATCATAAACCGTGTGGCTATTCATTTGAATTTGACTATTCTGATAAAGGGAAGTAGTACCAATAGACCTTTTTTATATTTCATTATTATCTTCCGACTAAACGCAGGGACCACACTGAGTTTTTTGTATGCTGCAACAAAACGACACAGCGGAGGGGTAGCAGTGGGTGCAGGGGCGGGGTATGACAGTACCATGACAGAGACTAACAAGACCACTTTTATCTCTTAAAAGACATCTATGTCACGCCCTGTCTGTGCATGTGAGTCACGGTGATGCGCGCATGACAGAAAGACTGTCATGACTAAATATGTCAGAACAGACGACTTGAATCACTTTAGTGCATGCGCACAAGAATTTTGCTAACCGTTGCTAAACATACATCAATATTCAAGGTGTACCGAGAAGGAGGCTAGACCTTGCACTGGTCTCCAACCAATAGCTACTGACATTCACAATCACGCCAATTCACAATTTAGAGCGATTCACCTCATGTTTATGTTGATGGAATGTGGGAGGAAGCCAGGGCAGGTCCAGAAAAAAAAACAAAAACATATGTGTGTGTGTGTGTGTGTATATAT